CGCAGACGCCGGACTGGGGCTTCCAATCCCTGCAGCTACCCTCTCCCATCTGGCAGATTTCACAATCACAGAATATTCTGCCCCTGTTTATAAGTCCCCTTCATTTAATAGCTGATGTCATTTTTCAAAAGCACTAGGGTTTGGTCCGATTGTTGACCCTGCACATCACGTCCAAAAGAATCACTATTGTCCCTGGAGCCGTAGTTCTTAACTTGATTCGTGAGAAGCACGTGTGGAATTCTTAAAATTTCTCACACGGAGGCCGCACTCTAGACCGATGACACCCTGATCTCTAGCGGTGGGATCCAAGCCTCGGTGTTTATAGTTTCCCAAGTGCAGACAATAGAGAAAACCAGTGCCTGAGGAGATTTCAACAAGTCATTGTATTCCTTTTGAGGAGAGCTCACGTGTCCTGCAGTCTCGTCAGAGAGGCTGAAGACAGCGGCTATTTTCTCTGGACACTTGCTGTGACACAGCCAAGAAAGGTCCTCACGGGGATCAATGCCTGGGGGCAGTTGCCAAATGCTGCTTGGCTACCATTACCAGACCACAAGCCACACAGCACGTGGGTTGCAAATTACAATGAGAAGCCACATATAGGAAGGACTTTTCCCGAGTCCCTCTGCTTGTATTTCAGTCTGGTGTTTTTATGCATATCGAGATGAACTAAATTGTCTCACTCCCTTATCTCCTCCTGCACACCTCAGACGAGCTCTGGATTGAACGCCTTAGTTCTAAGAACAAATACATCCCTGAATGACAGCTGAGAATGGGCTTTCCAGTACAGGATAGCATGGATCTTAAATGGTTCATTTAATCCTCAGACGCTATCAGTATATTCTAAAGTATTGGCTTTTCCGTGGCCTTTTACACAGTTTATAGAAGAGGTGGGACAGAGAAACCCCTCCCAAAGCTTCAGCCCAGGAATCTGGGAGACTGTGGGAGACCCAGAGCCTTGTGGGAGATTCTGGAGCCACTCTCAGAGCGATCTGCACCAACACTTTAGAGATTTTCCAGGTTAGGAGAGACTAAAGGTTATTGTGCAGGATAAATCCGAGCTGGGGGTGGGGGGGCGCTGTAGCTGCGGCTGAGTCCAAACTCAGACGCGCAGGCTTCATCTTTGCAAATTCTGTTCCTGTTTTTCGTGGGGGGTGGGGCGGGCGGAGCCCCGGGCTTTGTCTCTGAGTGCGAAGGCCGGGGGAGAATGAGTTGTAATTACTTGAGCCTGGGGGCAAGTATCTGTTACTTCCTTTTGCCGGTTTTGTTGATTGTGGATCAACAAAATGACGGTCTCTCTTAGACTAATACAATAAGAAACTGTAACTCTGGAGTTAGGGCACCTGGCAGGGGCTAAAATGTGAAATCCAGTCCCCTCCCCACCTAGTTGAACAGCTTTAGCAAGTTGGATCCACAATATATAAAATAACAATATATCTGAATCCAGTGTTATTTATCCCAGAAGAGTAAAGTAGGCTTAATACTCAAAATCAATGTGATTTATTATTTCAAGAGACTAAAAAGAAAAATCATATGATCTTACTAAAAAAAGCAGACAAAACATTTGGCAAAGTCCACTTTCATTCCTGACACAAACTCTCAGCAAATTAGGAAAAGAAGGAAACTTCCTCAACCTGGTAAAGGGAAGCTATGAAGAACTTCACACTTAATGATACAAGACAGAATGTTTTCCCTGTAAGACTGGGAGCAAAATGTAGGCATCTGCTTTCATCACTTTTGTTCAGCATTTTTCTGGGGATTCTTGCCCAATCAATAACGGAAAAAAATTGAAATAGAAGGCATCCGGGTTTAAACAAAAAAGTATTTTTTATTCCAAGAAAATGTGAAAGGCTATGTGAAAATCCTACAGAATCTACAGAAAGCTGTAATAAGTGAATTTAGCAAAGTTGTTGGATACAAGGTAAATATTAAAATTAATTGCATTACTACTGTTTATACTACATCTACATATGTATAATTATACCTAGCAACGAACAATCAGAAGTTGAAAATTTAAAAAGCAATTCAATTTACAACAGAATAATTAAATATGAAATACTTAGGGATAAAATATGTCCAAGATTTGTACACACACACAAATGTTGAGATGGATGAAAACCTAAATACAAGGAAAATCTTTTCACATTTGTAAATGAGAAGACTCAATATTGTTAAGATATAAATTATCCCTAAATTGATTTACAGATTCAGTGTAACCCTAATCAAAATAACAGCAAGATTTGGTTTTATTTATTTTTTAAGACAAGTTTTTTTTTTAAATTTTAAAGAATACTTATTTTAGTAATCTCTACACCCAGTGTGGGGCTTGAACCCACAACCCCATTATCAAGAGTCACTTGCCTTCCAACTGAGCCAGCCAGGTACCCTTGGTTTTACTTTGTTTTTAGAAATTGACCAGCTGATTACAAAAATTCACATGGAAATTAAAAGACATAGCATGCCAAAAACAACTTTAAAAAGACCAATAAAGGGGCGCCTGGGTGGCTCAGTCGGTTAAAGCCTCGCCTTCGGCTTGGGTCATGATTCCAGGGTCCTGGGATCGAGCGAGCCCTGCATTGGGCTCTCTGCTCGGCAGGGAGCTTGCTTCCTCCTCTCTCTCTCTCTCTCTCTGCCTGCCTCTCTGCCTACTTGTGATCTCTGTCAAATTAATAAAATCTTAAAAAAAAAAAAGACCAATAAAGTTGGAGCAAAGTCACTCTGCCTGGCATCAAGATTAAAAGCTACTATAATCAAGACTATAGTATTGGCATTAAAATATGAAAAATAGATCTATGGAACAGGAGTACAGAGATAGAACCACAAATAATATTATCAATTGATGGTTGACAAAGTTTCAAAGGCAATTCTGTAGAGAAATGTGACCGTTTCAAATTTATTTTTTATTAAATTTTTAAAATTTTAATTCCAGCATGGTTAACATACAGCATTATATTAGTTTCAGGTGTACAATATAGTGATTTCACAATTCTATACATTACTGAGTGCTCATGATAAATGTGCTGTTTAGAAAGGTAGTCTTTTCAACAAATGTTAAAAAAAACAATTTTGATCCTTACTTCACATAAAAAATGAATTCAAAATGGATCATAAATCTAAACCACAAAATATTTAGAATGAAATTTTTGTCACCTTGCATCGGGGAAAGATTTTTTTTTAGCTGCAACACCACAAGCATGATCCATAAAAGAAAAACATGATTAATTGTACTTCAACAAAATTAGAAAACTTTGCCCTTCAAAAGTCACCGTTGGGGTATTGAGAAGACCAGCCACACAGTGGGACATGACAGTTGCACCCTCAGTCTTTAAGGATGATTTTGCCTCCAATGTCCAAGGGGACATTGATAATGTCTGGAAACATTTTCAGTTTTCATAACTGGGACAATATTACTGATATCCTGTCATAACTGGGACAATACTACTGCTACTAAACATCCTACAATACACATGACCCCCAACCCCCGCAGTAAAGATTTATCCAGTCTAAAATGTCATCATTGTTGAGGTTGACTAGAGTAAGAAGCCACATGGACAGTCTGAACTCTTGCCTCCTTTAGGGCACAGGCCAGTCAGGTTCCATCACCATTTACTAGAATGAGCCCATTACTCCTTCTTGAAGTCTTGAGGAGGGGACCGTGCCTGAACATAAATCTGTAAGCAATATGTACTCAAATCTGTATATATGTATCCAAATCATGCCCAATTCACCCTCTGGGTACCAAAGGCTGTACACATACATGGGGCAGGAAAGGCATTGCCCTCAAAGGACAGAAAGTGAGAATGTTTCTTAAAGAGCTATAATTCTGACTTCAAACCCATCCTAGGACTCTTTTCGGGCTAGGTGGGAGTCCGGGTGTTTTTCCTTGCCTAAGACTGGTTATTGAATCACTTCCCTGACCTGGGGAGCAGCCGCCTCCTTCAATGATTATCTTTGTGCCTAACACACATCTTTGCTATCCTTATGGTGGGCTTGGAGGGAGAGGCAGAAAGGGAGGGAGGCAGGGAAAGGGGTGATGTAGTAGCTGTGTGGACACCAGAGGCAAGTGGAAAGGGAAATAAGAAGGAACACCCTATAGGTGATCCATTAGGGGTCTGGGAGGAAGCACCAGGTACCACTTTGGATGCTCGGTTCGACTGTCTGAATTTGTTACTTCAGTTCTGAGTAGGATTGCCGAATTTTTTCGAGTTAACTCTTAGGAGCAAGCGGTGAGACAAAGGCTCACTTCACTCCCTGATCCCCTCTATGCCCCACCTTAACTTCTACTGCGCTTTCAAGGTTATGTCAAGATTCCAAAGCTATCTCCACTCTCTAGAGTGCTCCAGGTTAAATGCCATCTCTTTGGCAAGCAACACCTATTCTCTCCCTTAAACAGAAGGGAGGTCGAGGATCCGGAGGAGTGTGTCTTCTAGAGATCCGCTTGCTTTACGAGCTCCACGCCGGTAAACTGAGTCATTCATTCAGTAGTCGCATTCCGTCAGTCTAGAGCTGAGTGTTCAGAAAATTCAGATACTGCGTTTTGAGATTTGGCCAAATCCCGCCGGAATCTACACTTTTATTTGAAGGGAAGATGAAGGCTATGACTACTTACGATTAGAAACAAAACCCTGGCAGCGGTGGGATTCGAACCCACGCCCCCGAAGAGACTGGAGCCTAAATCCAGCGCCTTAGACCGCTCGGCCACGCTACCAAACCTACAGGGGAGTTTTGCCTACGCTTCCTAGCTATATCTTTCTGCTGGTTTTTCAGCGCTGTCTTCTGAACCCCCAACCTGAGACCAAGAGTATAGATACTGCCAGAGGACCCTACGGGAGAAATTCTTCCCTTCCTCCTCTGCTCCATTGGACCCAACCTGGATCCGCCCAACCGGAAGCTCTTCTCACTCCAGAAACTGAAAGGAAAGTTCTTTAAAACTATCCGCTCCGGAAGCGAAGCCCTTGGGATCCAGAACGTAAGCTCACTCCGAAGTCAGGGGTCGAGCCAGCTTCCTCCTGGCGCCCAGTAAGCGCTCAACGAGTATTTACGCCACGGAGGAATGAATTCCTTTTGTCTCCAGATAGCTTTGGGGTGGGGGTAAGGGGGTAAAAGGTCGTGCTGGGCTAGTAACGAAGACCAAAGCTGAAGTCAGCGCTAAATTTTGAGTTTGATATTTTTCAGTTCCGTAGCCAGAAAAGAAGTCTTGGCCCTCCAGGAAGCGTGGCACGTAAGTTAAAAGGATCAAGAAAAAAGCTTGACTGCTGGTTCTCTTTTGGTCTTTGAGACCCAACCTCAGAGAGGCGGTGCCAGTCTATGCCCGCTCCCTAGTTTTGGCGGAGCGGAGTCTGCAGAGGCTTCCTCCCCCGATTCCGCTTGGTGGAAGAGGAGAAGCCTGTCTCAGGGTGGATGGACTCCTGCGGCTGGGATGCCTTCAGTACCTTCTTTTAGAACCTATAAGGCTTCCTCGCAGAGAGGTTCCCTTTCTCCTGCGCAGTTGTAGCCTCTTGGCGGCTGTTACTACTGGCGACTGGGGAAGGGGATGGCAGGAGAAGCCCTCACCTGGGGACAGAGCCCAGACCCTGAGCCCACACTGGTGCTCCTAGCACCTAGTATTCCTGAGAATTCAGCGTGCTCCCGCTGCTCATCCTCCCCAGAAGCCCAAGCCTGCCGGTCCCGGGTGAGGAGCACGAGCGCAAGGCCAGAATGGAGGAGAAAACTAGATTCTCACCTCTTCTCCTCTTGATACAGAGAATAGTAGTCACACCTCAGTTCTCCATACCTGAGCGTTTCTTAGGTCCCACCAAACTTGGATTTCCATGCACCTTATATGAAAAGAATTCTTGTTCTTTTTGACTGCAACCAAGTGGAAATTACAGAACACCAATATGCTGATGTGCCTCTTTTGCTAGCGTGTGACAGTAACAGAAAATTTAATTCACAATTAGTACCTAGACTTCAGAGAAAAACAGGTGCCTTTTGAGATCCTGCAACTCTGCTCCGTATTCAGAGAAAACTACCAAATTATAAATACAGTTTTCTATTTCTCCTTAGTTCTGTTAACTTATGGTTCTTATATATCTTATTCTTTAAAAAAAAGATTTTATTTATCTATTTGTCAGAGACAGAGAGAGAACACAAAGAGGGGGAGTGGCAGGCAGAGGGAGAGGGCAAAGCAGGCTTCTCGCTGAGCAAGGAACCCTATGCACAATTCCAGTCCAGGACCCTGGGATCTTGACTCAAGCTTTCCCAGAGCCTAAGGCAGATACCTAACAGATTGAGCCACCCAGGCATCCCTTATATATATCTTATTCTTACAGTGCTTCTCCTATTTGCTTTTTTTATTATGTTTTTATCTTATAAAACCTGTATCTTTTATCTTTACATCTTATAACAAGCTGTGTTATTAGATACATAGAAATTCAGGAATATTGTGGGGTTTTAATAGAGAATTTATTTGTTAGGACAGGTTCAGGTTCATAGCAAAATTGAGTAGAAAGTACAAAGAATTCCCATATACCTCCTGCTTCCACATATTCACAGCTTTCTCTGCTATAACATCCCACACCAGAGTGGTATATTTGTTACAATCGATGAACCAACACTGACATATCATTCTCACACAAAACCATAGTTTACATTAGGGACTCTTGTGGTTTCATGTGAATTTTAGGATTGTTTGTTTCTATCTCTGTAAAGAATGACATTGGAATTTTGATAGGGATTGCCTTGAATCTGTAGATCATTTTGGGTCGTTTGGACCCAAAACTGTGGGTCCAATAAAAACTGTTAAACAGCTTTAATTCTTCCAATCCATGGACACCAGATGTCTATTTATCTGTGTCTTTTTAGTTTCTTTCATTAATGTTTTATAATTTTCAGTGTATAAGTCTTTTACATCTTAAGTACATGAATACATATGTCTATAAATAACAATTTTCCTGTAACTTAAGAATTGATTCTCTTTTATCACAAAGAATACTTCTGTTTCGTCTCTCCTCATGACAGCATATCAAGTATTAGAGCATGGTGATGATGTCCCTCAAGTTTTCTCTTTTGCATATGTAAGATCTTCAGTTCCATTAAACATTCTTCCTCTAATGTGCTAGCCAGCCAGCCAGCCTCTCAGTCCTCTGCATTCCTGGTGGTTCACCTGGGCATATGCCTGAGAACAGTACTTACAAAATCATCCTGATAAAACAGGTGGACAGTCGTGAGCTGTGTAAGGAGGAAGAAATCAAAGTCAAAAGGACGATAGTGGAAGGTCTGAACAGAGATAGCAGGAGAAAGCTTTTACAGAGACCAAAGTAATCTTCAGGTGACATTTAAAGGGGCTATGGAAAGCAGAATAAGTCAGCAAGAATTCCTGGTCACCAGGAAAGAGTTTGCAGAGTAGGGCTTGACTTTTCAATTCTTAAAAGATTTCTTTTAGAAGACAAACAGTCAACTTTTGTAGAGTCAGCTGAAACCCTTCCCCAGCCTGTTCATGGAGCCAGTGGCTCAAGGACAGCTGTACAATAAACAATATTGTCCCCCTCCTCTTGCTGAGCTATCTAGGGATCCCACATTTCCCTACTCTGTGTTTAGGATGCTGCAAGGTTTGAATCTCTTAATAGATGGGACAGAACAGTCCTACAAGTTTGTTGGATCCAAAACGCGGGGAAGGGCACTGGTGAAATGCAGAAATGAAGTCTTGGGGAATCACTATTGTTTTTAGTGTCACAAGGTTGGATCTTACAGGTTTGAACCTTGGCCCTCCATTGCCCAAAGTGAGAATCCTTTCATGAGCCCAAGGCCTGAACAGCACATCTTTTGAAGGACATGCATTTTCATTGCAATCCATCCCAGGCAGTTTCTGGGAAGTCTTGTGATGTTCTTTATATACTTTTATTACTCTGATTCCCTTATCACCCAGTCTTAGTTTCCTCATACTCTGTTAAAAACGTGAAATCTCTTGCTCCAATCCTGCAGTTAAGCTCACCCTATTTGGGATCGAAGAGCATTCCATCTCGGCGTTAGAAAATCAGAGTCTTACAGAAGCTGTGAGTCCAAGAAACCTCCTTTTAGCATCCCAGTAGCCTATCCTACTTGCCAAGACCTGAGAGCATCCAGATGTGGCTCAGACCACACCCAGTGCTGCTCAGTTTAAAGAAAAGCCAAAAGACGGGTGGCACTGGTCATCCACTTGGCAGGACAGAGTGAGACTTTTCTTCGTGGAAAGTGTGTTTCCTTGGGAATCTGAAACCATGTGCTGGCTGGAGAAAGGAGGTCGGACATTTTCTGGAGGAAAACCAGCCCTATAGGGGCTGAATGCACATGCCATGTCAAACTGATTCTACCTAGTGTTTATCTGAGGATATTGCCTTAGAGATTCTCACTCTCAATAGATAACCACAGGTTTATGTTTAGGTAATTCCTCCCTTTTTCTGTGGAGATACTCTGTGTGCTGGTATCTGGCACACCATTTAGTGACAACATACACAGGAGACCTGGCTCCTGAATTCAGACTGGTTTCCTAGAGTTTACACTTAAACTGGTTGAGACCTGGAAGGTCCTTGGAGATTTTTAGTTCTTGTTTACCAAGAACTTCAGGAACTGGAAACTAAAAGATTCCTGGTATTCCAGATTTCTGTGGGTTGAAATCTCCTTATTTTCCTCTACTCTTGCCTCTGCATTTGTTTGCTCTCCATTTCTAATATTTATTAATGCCCTGATATGTGCTGATCACTTTGTTAGGTATTTGGAGACTAAGAAGTATGAATCATACAACCTTCCCCTCAAGTTGCTGAGGAATAAGCTGAGGACACAACACTAATGCATATGATTCTTAAAATAAACTTAGTAGTCTATAGCTAAGTGCACTAGAATGTCCTACCCTTTTTCTTTGCCTTCTCATTTGTTCTTTCTTTGTGTCTTTTGTAGCATTTTCAAAAAGTTGGACATAGGTGGGGTGCCTGGCTGGCTAGGTTGGTGGGACATGTGACTCTTGATCTCAGGGTTGGGAATTCAAGCCCCACACTGGGTGTAGAGATTACTTAAAAATAAAATCTTAAAAAAAAAAAGATGGGCATAAGAATAGATAGGAAACCATAATTTAGAAGTAACTCTGGAAAATTGAAAAATAAAATTAAAATGTGTGTTATCTTTTGACACTCTTTCATATAAGATGAAGAAATATGGGAAGGAGAACAGAACAATTTGACAATTTCATAAACAATTGAATATATGTTTAAGGGGTAATGTTAGTCTGGGTGCTTACGTCTAGGTATCATGGGTCACCTCCATTGTATCTGTCCTGTTCAGTATCCTAAGAGTGGGAGTGAAGAGGAAGGAATGGCAAGGATAAAAAAAAAAAAAGTCTCATGGATTTCAGAGGAAAGAAGAGATTAAATCTACTCCATAAACAGTAAAGGCATTGTGAATTTTAAGAACATCAAGATGGTTTTCAGATAAGTAGTGTTTGACAGGTATGGTGAAATGAGAAATCATTCTAGTTGATAAGGCAAATAATCACAACTGAAAAAGGTGTGAGTTCTATTTGAGGAATTATAAGTGGATCAAGTTGACTAGAACAAAGATCTGTTGGCAGTATACAGCTGTCATTTGGGAAATGTTGATCTAAATATTAGAAGATAAAAGCAGTAATGTAGAGAGGCACATACTGAGAGTACATTAGTGTAGTTAAGAGTCTTTAAGTTGAAAACAATTTTTACTAAAATAAAAAAGGGGGATTTCTGGGATAATCCAGGAAAATCTCATAGATTCCAAGAGTGGAAAACACTGAGAACTCTGGAATGGGCCATAGCTAGTAGGAACTTAGAAGGTGTCCAGGCTCCCTTTCTTGCTATCACCTCTCCTTGTGCTTTGGCATGCTCTTTTCTATGATGATGTTTTCTCTGCTTCTCAGTTCATCTGGTGGAGTATGCTTGATGTTACAGTCCTACAACTCCAATTTCCTTTCTAGTAATTGTGGGCTAATTAATTTGGACAGAACTCCTTGAAGAAAAATGAAAAAATATTGGATAAGATTTTACCATATCTCCTTAAAAGCATCAAAGTACTAAAATGGTAGCAAGCAACTACTAGGCCAGAATCCAAGCAAAAGATGGAATCTGATAGGTAAGGGAAGCACTGACTTTTGTAGCTCTGAAGACACTTGCTAATTACTGCAAAACTGGGCTATAGTTTTGGCAGACTCTGGATAGGAGAAATAAGAGGAACAGATGTCAAGACCCAGCACCTATCCAAAATGGAAAAGCAAGTAAGACGCTCTCCGCAAATATTAAGTTTAATATTAATTAACATTAATATTAAAGAGCTATTCCCATAAGGCAAGGATGAACAAGAAGTAAACCTACCTCTATCCTCCCACTTCCAATAACTGTTATGGAGCTCAGCAGAAGTAAGCTAAGCTTAGCAAGGAAAACTGGAAAGAATGAGCTTTCAACTTCTCCTGAGAAGCTTGGGTTTAACTTCACCTTGAAGGCTCAGAAAATGTCCAGCCAATAACTATTTTTAGGATCCTTTTGGGTTGATAGTGCTCCACCTGCCTGGGAGAAACAGAAGGTTTTATATTTATATTTATATTTATATTTATATTTATCATAATTATTATTTTTTTCAGGAAGTCACCTTCATCTTGGCCTCAAAAATTCACTGCATATAATTTTGCCAAGACATTGAGCAGTGCACATTCAAAGAGGACTAATTACACAAGGAAACACAGTGACATGAGTAAGAATCAACTAGAACAATAGATAGAATAATATTGGGATTATCAGTTATACATATTAAAATCAATATCATTAATGTGTTTAAAGAAATAGAAGACACGGTGGTAAACATCTGCAAGGAAGAGGAAATTCAGCAATTTGATTTACCTGCTGGTAGGATTGTAAACGAGTACAGTTGCTATAGCAAACGGTATGGAGGATCCTCAAAACAAAAACAAAACAAACAACAGAACCAGAACTACCATATGATCCAGCAATTCCACTTCTGGGAATATAGCCAAAGGAAACAAAAACACTAACTTAAAAAAGACACCTGCATCTGCATGTTCATGGCAGTATTATTTACAATAGCCAAGATATGAAAACAAACTAAGTGTCCACTGATGAATGAATGGATAAAGAAGTTAAAGAAGTTGTGGTATATAACTCTGGAATATACATATATATATACATGGAACATACATATATATTTAAGTATATAAAATGGGATATATATGTGTGTGTGTGTGTATATATATATATATGTATATATATATGTATATAATGGGATATTATTTAGCCATAAAAATGAGAAAATCTTGCCATTTGGGACAACATGGATGGAACTTGAGGGTGTTATGCTAAGTGCAATAAGTCAGACAGAGAAAGCCAAGTACTGTAGGATCTCATGTATATGTGGAATCTAAAAACAAAAACAAAACCCAAAAAAACCCAAAATCATAGAAGAACAGATCAGATTTGTGGTTAACAGGCAGAGTTTGGGAAAGGGTTTAGGAGAGAGATTGTCAATAGGTACAAACTACTTACTACAAGTTAAATAAGAACTTAAGTACAAGGATGGAATGGACAGCATGATGACTACAATTAATACTGCTGCATGATATACATGAAAATTTTTCAAAGGTTAAATCCTAAGAGTTCTCATCACAAGGAAAACTTTTTTCCTTCTTTCTTTGCTTTCTTTTTAAATTATATCTATATGAGATAATGGATGTTAACTATAGTAGCAATCATTTCACAATATATGGAAGTCAAACCATTAGGCAGTACACCTTATTTTTTAAAAATATTTTATTTATTCATTTAACAAAGAGAGAGAGAACGAGAGGGTGCTAGCGCACAAGCAGGGGGAGCGGAAGGCAGAGGAAGAAGCAGGCTCCCCGCTGAGCAGGGAGCCTATGTGGGGCTGGATCCCAGGACCCTGGGATCAGGACCAGAGCTGAAGACAGATGCTTAACCAACTGAGCCACCCAGTTGCCCCTAGGCTGTACACCTTAAACTTAACACAGTGATGTATGTCAATTATGTCTCAAAAAACTGGAAAAAAATGTTGGCTTCATAGTTTTGAAAAAGAACCAGAACTTCTAGAATTGAAAATTACAGTTTATAATTACATTGACTCAGTAGGTGGATTTAACAGCTGATTAAACACAGCTGTAGCAAGCATTAGTGGATTAAGAATATGTTATTCAGAATGCAACATGGAGAGAAAAAGAAAATATGGACGAGAAGGTAAAATAAATGAAGGACAAGGTATGAAGGTGTAATTCCAATTTCATAAATGGAGAATGAAAAATAGAGCAAAACAACATTTGAAAAGCTGACCAAGAATTTTCCAGACCTGAAGAAAGATAATGATCTACAGACTTAAGAAATCCTATATCTCACCACTGAAAAAATATGGGATTTCCCTATGGTATCATTCACTCCTGCTTTATACATCTAAATTGAAATCTTATCCTGGATGAATCTAACTGGTGGAACCTAGATCACATGCCCACTCCCAGCTGCCAGCTGGGAAAGCAATTTTTCTAGGGCAGACTTACTAATAATATGTGAAATTATCAGATGTAAGTAAAAGTTAAAAAAATACTGAACGTCCACTCATAGGACAAATGCCTGCAACAGATCTATTCAGCTCATGTTCAGTCCTCACCAGTTCTTTTTGTACTTTCTTCCTTCAAGAGCCCATAACTCTTAGAGCCTATAACTCAAAGGATACCTTATGTAATTTGATCTAAACATGACCTATTGATCTATGGTCTTCTAGACACAAGAGTATTCTAGCAATTGTACAATTCCCCTAAACTCTCCCAATCTCGCTTCAAATTCATCCTACCTAAATCCTTGCACACCATCCTCTGCCCTTTCTAGGTACCCTTCTCTTTAAACATTTTTTTCCCCTCTGCAACATCATCTTGCTTTTTCAAGGTATAATAATTGAAAGTCCTGCCTCTTTCATCTTTATTATCTCTTAGTTTTTATTCATATCTAACTTCAGCTGAATCTGTCTTCCTTCTATCTCCCTCATTCTTTCCTTCCTCTCCAGTTCCATAACTGTAAATCTCTTTCGGTTTTATGTTTGAGTGTCTGCACCGTGGCCAGTCTCTGATGTATCTCTGACTCTGGTTTTTCTTCCCATTCATTCATTCTGCATATCCATGCCTGGTGAGTTTCCATTTTCCATTTTTTTTTTTTTTAGTTTAAATTCAATTAGCCAACATATAGTACAACATTAGTTTCTGACATAGTGTTCAGTGTCCATTTTCGATTTTTTAAAGGTTGTAACTTCATTCCACAAATCTCTCAGTCTCCTACTAACCTGACTTCTTCCGTTTCCCTTACTTCCAGGAGGGCAGATACCTGCCTCAGGCAGTGTACTGCCTTGGTTCCTTAAAAGCCTCGGTTTTTCTTTCAGACTTTGCTCAGACATTTTCTTCTACCAGAGATCACTCCTTTCCCAGACTGCGTCTTAACCTTTCAAGTGCAGCTCAAATCCCACTCCCACCTGAAGATTTGAAGAGTGATGGCTCACCCTGCAAATCTGCGAAGCTTGGCACGGTCCACCACCCGCTCACAGCTGGCACAGCTACTTTTCACTATTCTCTTTCATAAAAACTAAATTTCTCTTATTCCACAAGACTGTGACAGGGACGTCAAGTTAAAGACAGTATCTGATGCCTTGTTCCTAATGCACAGACCAGCAGAGAATTGGGAGTTCCGTGTTTGTTGCATGAAGGAATGAATTAAATAACGAATCAACAAATGCCTGCTCTGGCGCAGAGGCTCGAGCTGTAAGGAAGGTCCATACACAGAAAGAACTTGAAGAAGGAGGTTGAAAGTTGGTGGCTATGCTGAGTCAAGGAGAAAATCAGTGGGAAGGCCGAGAGATCTGTGGTCGTCAAATTCCGCTACTTCGCATTTCCTCTCTTAATTTTTAGACTGCGGCCAGGGGGCGAGGGGCGGTCTGAGGTGGACTCTGGGTTGTAATGTGTTGGTTTAGGCAGATTTCTCCGATTTTTAAAATAGTGGTGTCTGTTGTCACCGGCCCTCATATCGCGTTATCCCTAGCAAGGGCGTGCAGACCAAATTCCAAGAGTAAATGGATTGAAACAAAATTCGGATTTTGTCTACTTCCTACATTTAATCCCCCTAACAAAGGCCCAGCATAAAAAACTTTCCTTTTCAAAGAAAGAAGCAAACTAATCGCTCGCGAGGCCCTATAGCTCAGGGGTTAGAGCACTGGTCTTGTAAACCAGGGGTCGCGAGTTCAAATCTCGCTGGGGCCTTTACCCTTATTTCTTACTCTTTTAAATAAGACCTCCCGCCCTCCCCTCCGGTAATTTTAGCCCTTGCGGAAATTCGGTTCGTGTGTCTTCTCGCCACAGTCCCACTACCCGAATAAACCAAGCTGAACAGATCCGTTTCCTCTTACGCGCTACTGCGCAAGTGCGGGTCTGCTGCCTGGAATGTGGCGGAGTCCATTAGAAGCTGCGGGAAGCGCTCTCTGAGTCCGCGGACGCCCGGGCTGTGCTGACCCGCCGCGAGAGCCCTTCCCGAGGACGGCTTGAGCCCGAGAACCGCTGAGGGCGGTTGGGGCGGCGGCGCGCGTGTGGGGGTGGGGGGCATGGGAGTCCGGCCCAGTGCCCCGCTCAGCACAGGCTTGGAGCCCTGAACAAGCTCCCCTCCCGAAAGGGAGGAGGCGTTCTGGAGAGAGTAGGCTGTCCCGCAAGGTTTCCTGTGACCGCGAGTTTTCCAACACTTGACTACCCCAGCGGGAAAACGAAGGCCGAGACTTGGGTCATTAGGTTTGTTATCGGTTCAGAGGAATTACGGCTTCCTCTTTGAAACACCTTAAGGTATTTTCTCCAGAAGTCCTTTCTCGCGGAAACACTGGGGTTACCCATATGTGCTATACTCCACATCCTCTCCCTCCCCGAGTCTGTGGATGTATAAACGGAAGAGTTGCGCTTCGCCTGTGCAGACGCGCTTGGATTCCGAGGCGAGCACAGGAAGTGAGGAAAAGCGAAGAGGCCCGAGCCAGACCCGGGAGGCCCGCCCTCTCCGCCAGACGCCGAGCTGCGCGGGCGGAGCTGCGTATCCCACCGCCGCACTCCCTAGTTCTTCGAGGCGGGTTGGCGGTTTCCACGCCACACACATCACGGCGGGAGGTCCCGGGCCGCGCGCTCACGGCAGCCAACCGCCCCCGGGCGGGCAGATGCCCCCAGCCCCGGGCGGCGTCGTGATGCACGGGGTCTGGGGGTGCCTGTGAGGAGCCCACGGGTTGGTCCTGCTTTGGAAGCCCCTCCGTGCGGTCGGGGAATCCGGCTCTAGAAGGGTTGTCCCTAGAACTGCGGGCGGGGCTTTCTCACAAGCTGGCTTTGTGAACCTGCGACGTCCACGTCTCCGTAGATTGTTTCTCCCGCGCCCCTATTTGTAGGTGTCCTGAATAGGTGACTCTAGAGAGGCAAGATCAGTACCCCCTTCGATAGCTCAGCTGGTAGAGCGGAGGACTGTAGCGCGCTCTCTGTGTGGTCATCCTTAGGTCGCTGGTTCGATTCCGGCTCGAAGGAGGAGCTGCGGTTTTGGGGTTTGCAGTCGGGGAGCCGGTGCTCTCTCGTTTCCTCGGGGGCATTTTGTCTTCTGGAATCGACTTCTCCAGACCTTATTCCTGTCCCCAAGAGAAAGTTTGAGCTCTCCAAGCATATGTGAACAAATGGATCCCGTTGGGCAGTTTCTTAGTGAGGTGGCGAGTGTGAGCCAACTCTGTCAGCCGGCTGTAAGAATTCTGAGTTAACCTCCCTTCACATGTTTCTTTTGGCTTCTAGTTGATCCACTCGTTGATACAGAACATTATATATAAACGCTGTGTGCGCTGTCTGCGCCGTGCGCCGGGAGCGACTCCACTTTGAGGAAACCGCCTGGACTGGGACTCCGGACCCGAGCGTCCGCCCCCTTCCATACACACAGCCATTCAGGGGGAGGTCCTTACACGACAGCTTTAGTTTATCTTTTTATACATATCTGTAGTTCTACAAAAAAGATTTTGGGCCAGAACAGGAAGGGGCAACAGGATCTGACGCGAATTGGGCTGAGACGAAGAATTCCAGACCGAGGAAACAAGTGAAACAAAGGTGGGAGATGGAACCCTTGATTCTCCTTCAGGGCCTGGACCATCCGAACACACGCCAGACTGGCGCACCTCCCACCGACTCGGGCTCCTGGGATTTTGATGCCCACCATTTCCCGCCTAGGATGTTAGGCTCGCGCGACGTGGTGGCAGACTGACACGCTTCCCGCGCGTCCAGCCTGAGGCTCAGGACCCTCCAGGCTCGCAAGCGAGCTCCGCTCGGGTCCTCGGACTCCTGCCGGGCTCCCACCGCGCTCCCACCGCGCTCGAGCTCGCGCTCAGAGCCATCCGGCCGCGCTCGGTGGAGCTCACCCAAGCGGCGCGAGGTCTGAAAACTGACCCTCCTCACTCCATCCAGCCCCTGGAGGGGTCCAGGGTGTGGATCGGGGAGAATAAGCGAGGCTAGGACCGAGCCAGGCTTCAAAGGAGTGAGACTTCATGAAAATGGGAGAAAACGAAGCAAGGCCAAAAGTAAATGTCACAATGCAGGACGAAGCTCAGAAGCAGCCTGGCGGCCAACTGCAGACAAGAAAGTCCTGTTCAGAGGAAAAAAAGACGCATTTGCCGTATCGGCTCGTTGGTCTAGGGGTATGATTCTCGCTTTGGGTGCGAGAGGTCCCGGGTTCAAATCCCGGACGAGCCCTAGCTTTTGTTTTTTTCTCCTGCTCTCGAAACTATGCACAAGTTCAGGTCTCTACAAACTTCCTCGCTTTCCGACTGTTCTGCACAAGAGGTGCGCTGAACCAACACATGCCAAAGGGGGCTGACGAGCTGTGCAGGGAGACACCGCCTGGTCTCCTGGACTGTCCGCCCCCTGACACCTCGGAGGGACCGCCTCGCTCCCAGGAGCAGGGGCTGGTGTCCCCAGGCCCGTTGTTCCCGGAGGTGCGTGGGTCTCGGGTCTGCAGGCTCTCTCTCTCCTTTCCCAAGCAGGGCCCGCCCGCCGCGTCCACTGCAGAGGCAGGTCTAGGCGGGAGGGGCGTCCCGGGAGAAACAGGGCGCGGTCCCAACTGCACCGTGGCTCCCGCGCCGCCCTCTTCTCCCTGCTGCCTGCCCCGTCCGTTCGTGTACACACACGTATGCCGACCCCACCCAGGATCCAAAGCAAGATTTAAAAGGGAGTCTTTGCGTCTTCTACCAACTCCCTATCATCATACAGGCAGGGGAAGAAGCCGTGAGAAAAACTTCTTTCCGCTGTTCTGCGCGTTTCTGCAGCCCCGTTCCAGGCCGAGGTGGGTTCACATCCTGCTCTCCTCCTCCTCAGTAGTTTTACCAAGAGCGTTTTGGCCCGAGAAGCCCCTTCTTAGCAGAGACAGTGTGGGGCTCCTCGGGGAGGCGTTTGCAGAACCGGGTTGGAGCCGCTGAGGAGTGCTAAGGAAGGTCAAAAGTCTTGTTCTTTTATGAGTTAGCGACTCTACATTTCTACCCTGAGATTTACTTCCCGCAGCCGAGCAGAGACATTCTAGGCGCTAGACTTACCCGAAGCACACACGGCTTCGGGAAAGTCTAGCGCCTAGAATGTAGGCTCAGAAGAGGGCGCAGAATTGGTGAACCGGGTGGAGGCCCGGGAAGGCCTCCACTTGCCCAAACCTAAGGATTCTTTACTTGGTACCCAGGTGGATCGTCAGATTTAGGCCTTGTCCAATTTTTGCCAGCATAACTGCCTTTGGGGTTTGCGTTTTTGTTTTCTGGTGTCTCACTTCTTTCTCCCCACCTACAGCCAATGTTGCAAATTTCCGGGATTCACGGCCAACAGGCTCTTCTTTAAGCTTTCTTACTAAAGTGTTGGGATCCTCAATCTTTTTTACTCTGAGACAGCGTGTCATATGGTAACACATGGGCAAAACAGAACATCTTTATTCAAGAAGGACAGTAAAAATAGTTTCAGCATCATTCTGGGGACTAGGGAAATCTCAAATGAGGCAAGACCCTCCCTCTGTGTCCCTAACCTTATAATCAAGTCATAACTGTAATCACTAGAAACTCAAGTGGTATTATTATCTGAACAGCACTGGCCAACTTCCCAGAAGCAGTCTCAGGTATTCAAAGAACTACCAACAACACAGTTACTAACTAGCTAGTGCAGAAGGATAATTTTGTTACACACACTTTATTTTAAGCAACTCTTTTTACAGATAAAATATTATTGAAATTCATGGAATATTCAGTAGGTTTTCCTCAAACAGCAGCTTTCAGTGGCATCTTTAAAATTAGCTTTAATTTTCTAGAAATTGCTAGTGTGGACTATGAAACCTACGTGGTGCATTGGAAAGCTTCTAGTCCCTGGAACACCAGATGTTCCTGGTGCAGTACATGTTTTCTTTCTCTGTACCTCAGTATCCTCATCTGTTCAATGAGGCCTTGATAGATAGTCCTCCAGGTCTCCCTCTTTCTTATTCTATGACTTCTTGGGGGTGGCAGGGTGGTAGTAAGATGGTACTTATAGAAAAGAAGGTACTCTATTAAGGTGGACAAGAGCTATGTAATTTAGCAGAACAGATGGGGAAACCATTCCAGGAAAAGAAGAATGGCTCTGGCTATTGGTGCAAGAGCAGATGTCAGGTTACAATCAGGCAAAGGTAAGAGATTTGTCAAGTTATTGTTGGAAGCATTTACCCATGTGATTCAGAAATTAAAGTAGATGGCTAAGAAAGTGGACGGAAGCAGGCCAATGAAACCCCTCATTAAAAGTTTTCATTTAGGGGTGCCTGGGTGGCTCAGGGGGTTAAACCTCTGCCTTTGGCTCAGGTCATGATCTCAGGCTCCTGGGATTGAGCCCCACATCGGGCTCTCTGCTCAGCTGGGAGTCTGCTTCCCCCACTCTCTCTGCCTGCCTCTCTGCCTACTTGTGATCTCTCTCTCTCTCTGTCAAATAAATAAAAAAAGCTTTAAAAAAAAGTTTTCATTTAATCTGTATTTGAGTGAAGAGCAATCTCTGTTAACAGTTATTCTCAGCAGAACACCTTGAAATCTGGGAAAAAGAATGGGCACAAAGCTCAGTTTGTTGAAAAGTGAATGTGTAACTTCTGTTTTGTTTGAAAACACACAGGCATGTCAACAAGACTTTGGCCCATTCTCCCTTAGTCATAGTGTCTCCCACTCCTGGAGATGTTATCCTTCTTTTCATTGGATCTTCATCCTCTTTTAACCATTAGTTCTGTTAGTAAATTAATTTCATGCTTATAAACCTAAAAAAAACGTTAGAGTTCAAACAAATGAAAAGATTAGTCACATCTCTCCATCCCCTAATTTTATAATTTGTCTTAAGGACAGAATTAAACATATGTACTCTGTATAAAGGGTAAAGGACACCAGCACTTGAGTCCTTAGAAGAAGAACCCTGGGCTGCCTGTGTCTATGTGCAAGGTGTGAAGAAGAGACACAGGAAAATTTTCAGGAAAAGGATGATGACTTTTAAGTTGAAGCTGTCAAAACATTTAAAAAAAATATATGATTGGGCTTTTTTCAATTGACAATTGCTTTACACCTATTAAAATTACTGAAGATTTTATATATATATACATATATATATGTATATATATATATATTTTCCTTGTTTTAGGTAGTTTGCAGTACAAATGAATAAGCACTTAGAGGCATTTTAATGAAATAGTCAAACTTTTTTTCCAATTAACCACTCACCATTCACCTAACCAGTTTTTTGCATGGGGGAGGCTGTGAATTCTCCCAAAGTTGTCAAGAGAAATCCCAGAGGCCAGAAAGTGACCTGGCTGTGTTCAGACGCCAGAGGCTGCTCCCCAGCACCACAGCATAAAGCTAACATCAGAAGTTGATCTGTTTGTGTGAGTTGGTGTTTGAATTGGTGTTTCAAGCCGTGGGACTGTGTGTGGGTGTGTATGTGTGTGTGATGCTGGACTGGAGTACCTTATCTCTGCCTTCAGGTGATTTACCAGAGATTTACTCGAGCCTGTTGCTCAAGTCATCTTGATCCCCACAGACTGTGGGAGTTGGCAGCTTCTTCTGTAGTCTGGGATTGCTGAGGTCTTAAGGGTGTTGTATGGGCCTGGCATTGTCTTCCCCACCAAACGACAGGCTTGTATCTCTTTAGAATTCAGTTCTTCAGCCTCTTTTAAAAAAGTGATATATTATTAATTTAAAATAGGTACCACTCAAATAGTTAGGGTTTGCCCACAAAAGGAAAGTCCGCATTTGGGTGCTCTGTTAGATACCAGTAGAGGCCCCACTCAGCGAGCCCCATGTCTTGTTGAATAATCTCTCTGTACCTAAAGGACTTTGAACTTTGGTGTTTGGCAGAACAATTGTATGGGCAGAAACACCTGTCCCTTCCTTTCCAGAGACTTCAGTAACTCTGAGGCACCAGGTACTGAGGGAGAGGTAGTTTGTGGCTGTGTGCTTGGTCCTTTTTTCACTTCCTCAGACTTTTTTCCTTTTAGCTCAGAATTTGGGTGGAGATGTAGGAAAAAGGGAAGAGGGCAGGGGAGAAAAGCGAAGCGTAGGCAGAACTGTGCCTTACCACAGCTGAAAAGCCACTGAAGTTTGTCTTTTCCAGGTTTGCCATGCTGTCTACTTTTCCTCCTCCTCAAATCCTCAAGCCACTCCAGCTACCAAAATCTATTCTTTTTTTTAAAGATTATAATTATTTGAGAGAGAGAGTGAGAGTATGTCAGTAGGGAGGGGCAGAAGCAGACTTCCCACTAAGCAGGGAGCCTTATGTGAGGGTTGATCCCGGACCCCTGGATCATGACTTGAGCCAAGGCAGACCCTTAACCAACTGAGCTACCCAGGCACCCCCTCCAAAAACCATTCTTAGGACAGCCTCTACAGCTCATGCACAAGCATGTGTGAATCACAGCCTGTTTAAGGAGTTAATCCTCCTATAGATTTTTACATTAGAATAGGGACCAATACCTAAGAAATGAAGGTCAGGATTTACCACTAATGCCAGAAGCAGAGTTTTCCTGGGAACTTTGGAAGCCTTCCAGTTCTACCTGGGAATTAGGCCTACATTGTTTGGTAACTGCTGCGAAACCCAATTGTGCCTGCAAGTCTTAACAGAAGCCAGAAGAATCTGTATGGTTGGGATCTCCAAAGTGAGACCAGATGGCACATTTCTAGAAGCACTGAGGGCTAACAAGAACAACTTGGGGCCAAGGAGTCAGCCACTCTTTGAGATACTAAGAATGCAGAGATGAGTGACGTAAATTATTCTTCTCTCTAAGGGTTCCATCTAATGGAGAGACAAGAAGATTAATTAATCATCAAAAGATGATGGCTAATGGCGTGTTTGCCAACCTAAAGTAAAGCCAGATCCATCCCACCCATGCTGTAAGAACTCCAGATCAGCTCACATTCTTCTCTGAGCATTTCTGAAGTTCCCAGGGGGTGTAAACATATTTGCAAACTAGCCCCTTTAACCCAGACAGAGAGGCTGCCATTTACTTCTTTTTGCTCTGCCTCCCTGGGTGAGGTCTATCCCTGCATCCAGCCCATGCTGCTAAAAATGTCTGAAGGTGCCAACACGCAGTGTCCTCTTCCTTTTTGATAGAGCAAATGGTCTGACCTGTTGTTCTAGCTCTTGTCCAGACGTGCCTCAATCTGAACCAAAGGGATCCTCACGGTGGGGAATGTGCTTTACTTCCCGCCCCACCCCCATACCACCTCTGGTCAACCACGGAGTGAGCTCCTTCACACTAACTTGCTGTATGCTTTCTGAACCTTATAGAGATTTAATGAAACAACCTTGATTTTTACGAAAGTTGTTACTGCAGTGCCCTCCTTCCTCTAGGCCCCAGGAGGCGAGGTCGGAGGGGATGTGAGCAGAGCACACTGTAGTCCTGGCCTGACACTGCTGCATAGCCTTGGCATCATTCTCCCTTCTCTCATCATGTCCTTCTCTATGGATGAATCCTTTCCCGGGACATCACAGACTCTTACACAGATAGGCTTCACTCAGGCTGACTCACCAGCTTTTCACACACACCAGGGCACGTCAGAAGTCTAGAGGCAACGCAGCATAAGCTGTCAGCTTGGGACTGTGGCTCTGTGTTTGCCTCAGCCTGGTGTGTACTGGGTACAGAGAATCCTCCAAGGAAGATGTGGGCCCCTTCTCCTGGGATGGGTTGGAATTGAGGAGAGCCTGTCAGACTCAGAGGTGGTGTTGCTCATGCCGAGTCTGGAAAGATGAGTAGATCCTCTCCCTGAAGACAAGGAGTTTGAAGTCCGACTGGACTATCCTTCTCTTGTTTGAACT